GTCGAGCAAATCTTGCCCAGTAAAATGTCCCTTTTTATTTTTGCTACTACTATTATCATAATTAGTAGGCCTTTTTTTAATATAATGCCAAATCTATGGTAAACTCGGCATACCCAAGGCAAAAAGTTGCTTTCAGACGGAAAGACAAGCTCTTGACTAGGAATACAAATGCGGCTAAAATATGTATAAAGACAAAAACCAGTCGCTTTGACGTTGCTTCAGCTTGCAGCACTTGATTGGGTTCGGTTTCGGATTCCCCGAATTATGTATGAATCATCAGCGCAGACGCAATTGCGCTACATGTATCTCACAGCTACTTGTATCTCACAGATACACGAGCTACACATGAGAGCGAGTGTGCCCATGCGGAAACTGGCGATGCTCTCGACTCGGCTCGATCGTTGAGTTGCGTTGCTTTTCCAGTTGCGCATAACTTTCCAGTCACTGTCTCTTTTTTTTTTTTTTTTGACCGACTCTGGTTACATCACAAGCTGCACTGAGATCGGCCGCTTGGGGCAGCTGGAACGTGAGTTCCGCATGCAATGGCAGTTGCTGCGACCGCTGCGACTGCTGCCATCAAGGTTGTCCGGATCTGGATCGATGTATTCAGTAGACAATTTCACAATTTGTTAGAAAAGACGGAGGGGGACAGACTGACCAACACACGTCGACGGACTCGAAGTCAACTTTTAGTTGGAATAGCAAATCGACAACAACAACAGCAACAACAACAACAACAATGGCAACCGCAACGACAACATCGAGTCGAGCCATTTACTCGCACATGTATTTGAGTATACTCGCATAGAGACTCGCCTTTATTCGAGTATAGCTGACTATTAATTAATTAATGCGCCAGCGATTTGTGGATGCACAACCAACTATTGCTGCAGACGTGGTCGGTTGTGTGTGGTGTGTGGGAAAAATGGAAAGGGGGGGGGGGGGGGGGGGGGGGACAAAATTGTAGAACTGGATATAAAGCTTGCAGATAACTTGCAATATTTGCATGACAATTGTGACTGCAGTTTATTTAACATAAGTGTGTTTGTTGGGCTATCCTCCAGCTTAGTTTGAACTATGTACCATATTTATTATTTCTATCTGAGAGAATACTTGTTCTACAAATTTATTTTCTATCGGACATCTCACATTTATTAGATTTTCCTTATATTTAACACAGAAGAGCCTTAGCTTAAACTATGTATCATATTTATTATTTCTTTCTGAGAGAATACCTGTTCTACAAATTAATTTTCTATCGGACATTTCACATTTATTAGATTTTCTTTATATTTATTATTATTTCTATTAGAAGTTTACACGTGCATGATATCTGAGAGAATACTTGTTCTGCAAATTTATTTTCTATCGAACATCTCACATTTATTAGATTTTCCTTATATTTAACACAGAAGAGCTTTAAATGCATTCCACATTTAAAATCTCGATTCCTTTGAACATTCAAGTTGGGACCTGTTTTTTGCATTAATTGATTGCAGTTATTACATTTGGTTTCGTGTGAATCCGTAAGTAAATGTTCCTAGAACTGGGGGCCCGCGACAGACACGTATCTTAATTTACAGATAATATCTTTAACAATATAATATCTTTAATGATGACGTGTAACCTGTTCGGAGTGCGACAATCTGGAGATGACGTCTTTCCAAACCATTTCGCCTAATTACTTTTTCCCAAGACGCAAAACTGGAGACAAAATCAACAAAGGGACAGGTAAGAGGCATATGATTAAGCTAGTTAGAATTCAGATTTCGATTTGATATTCGATTGGGTTAAGCCCATTTCATTGATAAACGTGCCGAACTGCAGTAGTAAGATTTTCGATTTTATTTATAAAGCAATTATTTGTACTAATTCGAGGCGGTTTTGTTGCTGAGGGGCGGGGCTGATTTTGTAATAAACCGCACACAAATCACAAGCCCCAAGGCATAAGACATTATTTATAGTGCTTTTTCAAAACTCACCCAAATGGACTTCTCGTTTGTTTACTCAAGTTATGTTTTTCCAAAATGTTCGATTCGATTTTCGTAATAGCCGCAAACACACACACTCACACACACACACTCAAACCACACTGAACACAATAAATGCACGTTTTGTTGTATTTTTTGTTTTTGCTTAAATGATTTTTGAAATTTTTAACTGCATTTGATTTTTTCGAAAATTGTATTCGTTACGTTCAATTTCGCACCTGTCGATTTTCTGGATTTTGACGTGCCAATGAACCGTTGCCCAGCAGCGCCGCGACGATAATGAAACCGCCAACGGCCGCCGTTGGCCACCACAAAAAGCGGCCCAAGTAAAATTCACTTCAACTTTTTTTTCAGCCCATTTCAAAACTTGCCGCAGCCCCACAAAAGCTTTTCGCTCTGCGCAAACGTGGTGTGGTGAACTACCTGGAGAAAAGCTCCCTTTTGCGGTCAAAATGCCTTTTTTGAATGGCCAAATGCCGAAACCGTTGCTGGCCAACGGGCCGTGGAAATGTACAAAGGCGGAAAAAGGATGTAGTATCTGAAATTGTCAAATGACCCGCAATCAATGAACGGATGCTGTGCGTAAAAGTTTGCCGGATGTGTAAACGGAAAGTACCCGTAAGGAAAGCAGCTACAATAAGAATTAAATAACCCGAAGGTTTTAGTTCTTCTAGACATGCAAAGGGTCACGATTTGTCATCATCTGTGTCCGATTGTTTCCTTCTGTTTTAAGCAAAATGGGAAATTTTTACCTATATAGTGTATTTGAGAATACCATGACCATGAATCAGGTTGCCAGACTTAAATGCCAATTTCATCTAGAGGCAAAACAATAAGCAAAAAGCCAAACCTCGTGAAAATCGAAAGAGATTTGACCAAGTTATGGGGGTGGGAAATGTTTATCTATGTCTACATAGGATCTTTGAGGGTATAATTTTCACATGAAATTCGACCAAAAAATGGGTGTTCAGGTTTTAATGCCAGATTATTTTAGAGGGAAAACCATGAATAAAAAGCCAAACCTCATGGAAATCGGATGAGATTTGACCGAGTTATGGGGGTGGTAATTTTTAACCCATGTCTATATACGAATCTTGGGGTAAGATTTGGAGATGAATTTCGACCAAAAAATGGGTGTTCAGGTTTTAATGCCAGATTAATCTAGATGGAAAACCATGAATAAAAAGCCAAACCTCATGGAAATCGGATGAGTTTTGACCGAGTTATGGGGATGGGAAATTTTGACCCATGCCCATATACCATTGTTGGGGTGAGATTTGGACATGAATTTCGACCAAAAAATGGGTGTTCAGGTTTTAATGCAAGATTAATCTAGATGGAAAACCATGAATAAAAAGCCAAACCTCATGGAAATCGGATGAGATTTGACCGAGTTATGGGGGTGGGATATTTGACCTATGTCTATATAGGATATTTGAGGGTACCAATTTAGCATGAATTTTGACCAAAAATTATGTTGCCAGATTTGTATGCAGAATTGATCTAGAGGCCAAACCATTCACAAAAAGACAAACCTTTTGAAAATCGGTTGAGTTTTGACCGAGTTATGGGGGTGGGATATTTGGCCTATGTCTATGTAGGATATTTGGGGATACCATTTCCACATGAATTTTGACCAAAAATTATGTTGCCAGATTTGGATGCAGAATTGATCTAGAGGCCAAACCATTCACAAAAAGACAAACCTTTTGAAAATCGGTTGAGTTTTGACCGAGTTATGGGGGTGGGATATTTGGCCTATGTCTATATAGGATTTTTGAGGGTACCAATTTAGCATGAATTTTGACCAAAAATTATGTTGCCAGATTTGGATGCAGAATTGATCTAGAGGCCAAACCATTCACAAAAAGACAAACCTTTTGAAAATCGGTTCAGTTTTGACCGAGTTATGGGGGTGGGATATTTGGCCTATGTCTATATAGGATATTTGGGGATACCATTTCCACATGAATTTTGACCAAAAATTATGTTGCCAGATTTGGATGCAGAATTGATCTAGAGGCCAAACCATTCACAAAAAGACAAACCTTTTGCAAATCGGTTCAGATTTGACCGAGTTATGGGGGTGGGATATTTGGCCTATGTCTATATAGGATATTTGAGGTTACCATTTTCACATGAATTTCGACCAAAAATAATGTTGCCAGATTTAGATGCCAAATGTATCTAGAGGCCAAAACATGACAAAAAAGCCAAACCTCATGAAAATCGGATGAGATTTGACAAAGTTATGGGGGTGGGTATATTATAGGTATTATATCTATGTGTATGTATGCATGCATGTATGTGTGCACTTATTAATATATGTACGCATGCATGTTTTATTTTCTAATACCAAATGCAGAACAGGCTTTTTTGTAGCTGAGCTGCTAATTTAAATAAAACGAATTTCTACCAAGTGCTGTCCTCCTCGATTCTCAAGAATTCAAGTAGCCTCGTCAGTTTTTGATGCAAGTTTAGTTAGTGCCTGGCAAGTGGGTTGGCGATGAAGTCAGGGGTGAGTATGTTTTGTATGTATGTATGGACGTATGTACGTATGTATGTATGCATGTATGTATGTATGTATGTATGTATGTATGTATACATGTATGTATGTTTGCATGTATGTATGTATGTATGTATGCATGTATGTATGGTTGTGTGGTCGTATGTATGTCTGTATGTATCTGCGTGTGTGTATTTTTGTGTGGATAAATGGATGTATGTATGTTCGTACATATGTATGTATGTTTAATGTATATATGTAATACAAACAAACATGTATACATATATATACAAATATGCACAGAAACATACATGTACGCATGCTTATATTTATGTATGCAAAAATGCATACACATACAAATGCATGAATATATGGATATGTATGTACATATATATAAATTGTGAGCAGTAGGCATTGGGTTTTATTTAGTTTAGAGAACTGTTACAGTTTGAAACGATTTTAGTTTTATATTCCTGAACAATCTGAGCGCATTACAGCAAAAAACTTTCAATTTTGTGTGTGTATTACAAAAAAAAAGTTGTATTTATTTGTGACGTGTAGAAAAATTGAAGAATATAATAAAAGTGAGGCAACATGTGGCCCAAGAGTCCGCGCATCCGTAGAAACGAGCTGCTCGCCAAGCAGAACGATGATTCGCCCCGCTCCAAGAAGAATTCCCCCCGGGCGCCCTACAATGTCGGATCTGTGCTGAAGAAGCGTCGCCCCCAAAGCTATAGCCAGCGCATGCAGAAGAAGCTGCAGGGGTGAGGCCAAAGATAAAAGATAAATTTATGTGCTTTTCCTGGAAAGCTTATTTTACAGCATTGAGAGCAAGGAAAATGTCCAGATCTTAAAAATACCCAAGGCTGTGCTGCTCACACCTTCCTCCTCGGAAATCTCACTCACCACAAGCATGTCCAGAGCGGGTGTGCCCACCTATACAGTGCAGCCGAAGCTGGAGAAGACTGCGGAGGCAGAGGCGCAGCCAGCTGCACTGCCTCCGTACCTGACACTCAAGCGGCAACAAACGGCGGCCATACTGAACTTTCGAGCACGCAAATCTGTGTCCCAAATGGATTTTAAGGAGGCACGACGTACCGGCAACTATCAGCTGGTGGCACATGTGCCCAACTCGAACGCCCTGGTGCCGGCTGCCCAGCACCCAGAGGGTCGTAAGCTGACCATCAAGGACGACAGCCTTACCCAGCTGCTGATGCAGGACGCGGCCCAGCTGTGCAGCACGCGGGAGGGCAATGTGCGCTTTGTGGTCAACGGAGATCAGGATGTGCGCATTGCCAGTCTGCGCATCTTCAATACGATCATGCTGCGCTCCTGGCGCCGCCGTCGCGAGGAAGTGCGTCATCTTAGCGAACAGGTCGAGGACTATAAGCGCAGCGTAAGTGCACAAGATTCCATTGGAAGCGACTTACTTATAACTCCTTTTTTTTTGTAGTTTGTAAAGAGTCGCAATCAGCTGCATGTCTACAACACGCTTTTTGCGGTGGAGAAGCGTCGTAACGATACTCTGAACGATCAGCTGAAGCAATCCTACATGGACAGTGCCAAGACGAAGCTGTCTTACAACGAGCTCAACATTCTGCTGAGCCAAACCAACCAGGAGAAGCAGCAGTTGGCGCAGGAGAACGCCTACAAGACGCAGGAAATTGAGAATCTGCAGGAGTTGCTGCAGGCGACCAAAAAGGAACTCTTCCAGGCGAATACGCTGCAGCGGGAGCAGCTCGAGCAGCTGGCACGCGTTCAGCTCGAGTGCCAGGCTGCCAAGTTCGACATCGAGGAACTGACGGCTCAGTTGCATTCCCTGAGATCAGAATTGGCCGAAAAGCAAGAATACGTGGAGAAACTGCGTGACAATATTACCCGCATTGCCGACGAACTGCAGCTGTCCCGCACAAGCTTCGTAGAGCACAAGTGTGAAAAGGAGCTACAAATCAGGTGAGATTCCTCACTAAAACAATGATTATTTTATTCACTAATTATTTCTCCCACCTAGTAAACTGATGAAGCTCTCGGAGGAGCTGGAGAAGGATATCAAGCTGAAGGACGAGCAGCTGCTCACGCTGCAGAACTGCCTCGCCGCCACGGTGGGTCAGCGCATTCGCCAGTGCTTCGCCCAGAGCCAGGCCTATCAACATGCCACCTATCGCCTCATGCACTTTGTCGCCTACTGCATGCTGCCCGGCACGCCCCCGCCAGCTCTGCCCATGTCATCGATTCCCTGTGCCGTCAAAAAATTGCGTGGACTTTTCCATGGCGGCACCGGTGGCGCCGACGGAGCCGAGGATAGCCGGGTAATCAGTAAATAGTATGCAAAATTTTCAGTAGGCATTTGTTTATAATTTATAATTGCACGTTCCGAGTTTTTTGGCGTTCCTTGAAGTTCTTTTTGGTGTTTAATTTATTTTCTATTTAGTAACGGAATTCAAGTAAACAATTAAAATTGTTTTGTTCACTAAAAAGTTGGTCGTTCCACTTAAATTAAATAAATACTCATTTTTGCTGATTGTAAAATTTCAATAATTTCAAATTTTGGTTCAGTTTTAACGAGACTTGCAGTCAAGGAAAGACATTCACTAGGGGCTTGTGTAATGCTACCTTAAAATCTTATTGAATGCAGCTTTCTATATAGTTTTAATCGCATTCGAAAAAGAATGTTTAAAAATCTGTAAAACACATTATATCCGCGAGAAAAGGTGTTATCAAAAATGCATAATTTTCTAGTGTTGATTTAATCAACCATGTCCAACCATGACCGCAATGTTATCAGCCAAGAAAATCGCCCCCGTTTTGCTATTGATTGGAAAAACTTGTTAATGATTTATTTACTGCTAAAACGATTAATTTATTCGTATTGAAAATATTATGCTAAAAACACACAGATTTTACATTTGTATAAAAGACGACTTAGGGACTAACACAACAGAGCTTAGCCAAGGTATTACGTAGATATTGATAGGTTTGATATTTGCAGATCTTCTGAATTGAGGCGCAACATTTGCTGATCCTCCGAGTTAATGCGAACCAGCTGCTCGCTGTCGAAGCTGAGCAGGTTGCTGATCGTGGGACCATTCTCATTGTTGTTCGCGTTGTTGTTGTTGCTGTTGTCGTTGTTGTTGTTGTTGCTGTTGTTATTGTTGGCAGCAACATTGTTGTCGTACTGCTGATGCATGGGCGTGATATGCTGCTGCAACTGTTGCTGCTGATGCTGCTGCAGAGTATGCTGATTTTGCTGCAAAATATAAGAATTATTATTGAATGAAATTGAGTTTATTTCAGGCTTGTGAACCTACCAAGTGATTCGTGGTCAGATTCCATTGCAGATTGCTGGCCGCGCCCGCGCCTGAGGTCAGCAGATTGTGCATGGTAAATGGATTGTTGAGATTGCTTAAATTGTTGCCGTTGCCAACAGCAACAGTTGGCGACGCCGACACCGCAGCAGCAGCAGCCACAGCAGCTGCCGAGAATTTGCTCTCCCAATGCGTGGCAAACGGATTTGGATTCGGATTGGAATTATATTGCAGCTGTTGCTGTTGCTGCTGCTGCTGTTGCTGCTGCTGTTGCTGCTGTTGTTGCTGCTGCTGCTGCTGTTGTTGGTGCTGTGCCAGTAGCTGTTGCGTAAAGGGATTGTAGTTGTTGCCCAACTCCAAGTTGCCAGCACCCGGAGCAGCATATTGCTGCTGCTGCTGCTGTTGCTGGTGATGATTGGGCGACATCAACTGTTGTTGCTGCTGCTGTTGCTGCTGCTGCTGTTGGCCATTGCCGGAGCCTGCCGCTGCCATGTTGTAGGGCGACGGCGTGCTGTTCTGATTGTAATTGCTTGCGGGGGACAATGGCTGCGGCGAGGGCGTTAATTCTGGCGGCGCCCGATATAAACCAAAGGGTTGCGGTGAGGTGTCTACAACATTTGCAAACATTTAATTAGCATTCAGTTCATAAGCTGTCAAGTTGTGCTCACCTCTCGGTTCGGTTTTAATGGGCGGTATGTTCTGTGCGTTCCAACAGTTCATGTTGTTTTGTCCTAAAAGCAGTGCACAAATATGTTAGCAAAAATCAAAGCAATTAATAAATAAAAATATTGTATGAAGCAAACATAAACACAAAGCAACAAAACTAAAAGATTACTAAAAGCAAAAAAATAAATAACAAAAAAAGAGCTTTAGAAAAAGGGCACAAAATAAAGGCGAAGTTTGTGATTTGAATTTTGCATAAAAACTAAAATCTAACTTATAGCAAAAATATAAAAAGCAAAAGAGAGTATTAGAAAAAGGGCAAAAAAAATAAAAGCGAATTTTATGATTTAAGATTTTGTAAAAAATTGTAACTCATGCAAAATTTGTCGTGCTCAAAACTTACTCCGTTTAATTGTTTCTTTAGCTCGACAATATAAAAACTTTAATATTCGAATTTTTCGATTTATAATTATTTTTTTTATTAATCTATACGTTTTATAAAATAGTTTTGATTACTTTTAATATTCAATAATTTGTTTTTTGTATAAAAATATCAAATTGTTTTTCCGTGTTTTATGCAAAGCGACAAATAATTGTTTTTTTTTTTTTTGTTTCTTAAAATTCCAACAACAATATTGCTACTATATATTTCTACAACGTATTTATTTAAATATAATTTGTATTTATTTTTGCATAGTTTTAAATATGGTTTTATTTTTCGTTTCAGATAACTTGAATATTTTCTAATAGTCTATACGATTAATACATCATAGAGCTTGCCAAGTCTTTGGTTTGGGTCGAGCATACTTTAATAGGTAGAATCTGAATTGACTAATCGATGTCACACTCAAACAAAACTGCGCTCGGGTTGGATTTATCCAACACACACACACAACATCCGCCAAAACACACCTGATAAAACAAACCACAGGGACAAACGAGACAAACTGGACAGGTGAGAACGGGACAAATAAACCAGCACCATAAAAGACAAAGCCCGCAACCAGGTAAGTGAAAAATTGTAGAAAACTTACTCCCATCCTGGGGATCTAGCTGATGCTGCTGTTTCTGCTGCTGCTGGAGCAGCAGGTGCATGGGATCGCCGCCAGTCTTTTGACGTTTCCGCCTCAGGTGTGCTGGATCTATAAAAAAGAGTTTACAAAAGGGGACAAATTGTTGGACAAGTCTTGATTCGGTTTAGATTACTTAGACGAATCTATTAAATACAAAATCAGGCGCACTTTTCCGGCGCCCGCTCAAAACAAATTCGCGCAACGATTTTCCCTTTCCCTTTTGGGGAAAACGCGCTGCTGCACAAATCAAATTTCGTTCGGGTAGTTGCGACTACGACTACCGCTTACAAAATGTGGGTTTCGGTTCAACAAATCTAAAACAAATACAATTACAAATTTTTCGGGTTAAGCTGCACGGCTTCCCGCTGCCAAGTGTAAATTGCTGCCAGGATGCAATCCTCCGCAGCTGACCAGACATAAATTGTTTTCTGATCTATCAAAAAAATTACAATATTCAATATTCAATTTCAATAACAAAAATTAATTGCCATTTGCCGCCGCCAAGCGTTTGGCCACCTGGTCAGGTGTTAGAATCTCGCCGGCATCCACCTGGGCATAGTAGGCGGATGTCTCGTCGAATTCGCTGGCCGTCGCCTGGGGCGGCACACTTGTATAGAGCGCAAAGTGCTCGACCTCGGTGAGATCGAGATTGGGATCCATTTTCACGTTAAAGTGCGCCTCAATGGAGCTGACCAAATTGTGCAGGCTCTGGCGATCGGCAATGGCCACCAGCTCCATGCCGCCCTCGCTGATGGGTATCTCGGCCAGCTGCAATGCGGATGCAGTGCGTCTATCCAACTGGCCGCCCACCGTAATCGTGCTGGCATTCGAGTAGGCCTCGTGTGGCGCCTGCTGCAGGCTGCTGGCGCTGTCGCCCTTTAGAGGTATGTGCACCACGTCCGCATTTAGGTAAGAGGGTCGCTTGCCCGACACGCTGCTCACGCTGCGTCCGCAGGGCTTCCCAGCCTTGCCGATCTTTCGTGCCGCACCCGCTCCGCCCGACTTCAACGGACCCGAGCTGGCCGCTTGATTCGATTTGGAGGAGCGTTGCGAGGCGCGCAGCGGATCGCGCATATTGAGATTATCCAGGCTGGGCTCCCGACTGGCCGCTGCGCTGGTTGCCTTGGAACAATTCTCGCTGCTCTGCTGCATTAGCTCCGGTTTACTCTTGCGGCGCGAGAACAGCTTCGAGAAGAAGCCGGGCTTCTTCTGCCGCGGCAGCGTATTGAAGTTGGGATTCGTTGTGGATTTGCTTTTGGACTTGGTCTCCGGCGGCTGTGGCAAGCGTTTTGTGGGCGCGGCCGGCAGATCGGATACACGCGGATGGATTATGGGCGGCGGCAGGCCACGTGCCTTCTCGCGCACGGCTGGAGGCGCCGCATCCCCGTTGTTAGCCTCTATGGAGCGATTCTCGGCATTGCTGTCCTGCTTGCGCAAACGCTTGGGCGGCAGCGGCGGCAACTTCTCCTCCTCGGTGGCGGCAAGTAGCTGGGCAGCCGCCAGTTCTAGCTGCTCCCGCTCCTGAGTACGCTCCTGCTGCTCCTGAATCCTCTCCTGCTGCGAGTTGACCTCCACTGCATCGTAATGCTGCGCATCTTCTGGCGCACACTGCGACATGGGCGGCGTTGGTGGCATTATATCCTCCATGGGTATATCGACTGGATGCTTGTAGGCGATCTGCAGACTTGTGTAGGTGGCGGCATCGTCGAAGCTGTCGTCCACCTGCATGGGCGGCCGGTCCATGCTCTGCAGCTCGTTCTGTAGCGTGTTGTTGTAGGTGTCGCGCTGCATCACAAAGTCCGTGTAGATCTCATCTAGCTCGGCCACCTGCTCGAGCAGCTCGTTTAGCGTCTTATCCTCCTCCGTGGTGGCCACCTGCGTCTCAACCGTTGCCTCGGTCGCATCGCTGTCGTCGGCCTCGACTTCAGCCGGACTTGGGCTTGGCTCGTGGGGCTGTTCCGGCAGCTCGTTGGACTTCATCCATTCGTTGATTTTGTCGTTGGCCGTCAGCTGGTGCGGCTCTGGCGCCGCCATCTGCTGCTCCAGTTCCAGTTGCTCCAATTCGCGCACCTTTTCATCGATAATCGTATCGATTTCCAGTTCCGTGCGCAAACGCTCCGCTTCCGCTTCTGCATCCGCTGCTTCCATGTCCTGCGGCGCTTGATCTATGACATCCACCGCCTCCGTCGTCCCGTCAAACAGTCGCAGCTCCGGCTCCGGCTGCTCCAAGGTGGGCGTATTTAGATCAATTACCTCAATCGTGGGCGGCTCGCGCTTGGCGGCGCCCGTATCGACCGACAGAATTTGCTGAAAGATGTCTTCATCGGGCTTCCGCTTGAGATGCCGATGAAGATTCCAGAACGTATGCCTACCTGAATCCAATGGCACATATTCGAAGGGCAGAGCCTCGCTGGTAACGCCGTCCGAGGGTCGACGCAGCTGGATAAAAACCTGCGCGACAACAACAATCCCCATTTAGTTGGACAGGAAGCTCTAGAGGATCAACTGACTGGCTCACCTTGGCGGGCTCCGTTATCTCCAGTGTGTGATAGCGCGGAGTCTTAAACGTAATGGCAGTCTGCTTGTGCACGTCCGTGTGCTGAAAATCGCCCAAGGCCTCCCACACCGTTTGTCCGTTCTTCTCCTCAAAGAAGCGCACCGTGATATCCTCCTTGGCCACCTTCTCGCACAGCAATATGATCTGGGTGTTGCCCAGCACGCTCGCGGAGCAGCTGCACAGACGGCAAATGACCAGATCGGACATGGCCTTCTTGTCGAAGATCGGCTCGGAGACAACTGGCGGCAGGGGCGATGTGAAGCGTCCCTTCTGCTCGCTCTCCATAAATACTTGAAAGCACAAACGCACCGAGTTCAGATCAATGCTCGACGGCTGAAAACGATGCGAGAACCCAGCTAAATATGAAGAAATTCATGATTAATATATACATAAAGAAGTCTGTGCTGTATTTGGGCACCTACTCTTGAACGGATCCACGCGAATCTCTTCTCGCGCCTTCAGCGCCGCCTCGATGTCCTTCTTCTTGACACACTGGATGCCCAAATTGCTGAACACGGCTCGCATTGTCTCGCTGCTGATCTCCAGTGTGCAGACGCCCTTTTTGCAGCCCTCCTTGCCCACCAGATTATGCGGATGTGGCCTGTGGATCAAGCAAATGAGAGCTAAGTAAACCAATTTAATAAAGTTAAATAATGTCTAACTAAAGGACTCAATCCAAGATATCAAACTCTTGATATCTGGATTTCTAACTTCATTTTTGGATAAATTTTGAAATGATCCGAAAAACGAAATAGTAACAAAATATATCTTATCTTTACATAGTTCGATTCCCAAACTTTGTTCTCTACATAGAAACATAACCCAATTATTTGTAGTCCAGTTTCCAGTCATATTGCAATTAACAATGGTTTTTACGGAATATTCTCGTTCGAACCACAAGATATTGCATATATTGTATTATACATATTGTATTATATTATAAAATATGTTTAAGGTTGGTAACTGTCCCAACTATCCTCTCCAATCCTAACTATTCTATCAACCATAGTTATTATAGTGATAATGACAATGCACCCAAATATCTCGCTCCTCTAAAGACTTCATCTACGACTATTTCCAAATCTTCAAAGATCTTTATCTAATCTTATGCTGATCTAATCAAGCTATTTGTGTCTGTATTATAATGTTTCATATTACCGATATGGCGTATCCTTGGTAACGCAGGAAACGACAACAACGGCGCGTCCTTTGTAGCCGACGATTTCGATGGTCGGATAGGTTTTGTTCTCGGGCGTGGAATTGACGCCGGGTATGGAACCCGCCGAGCGTCCCTCGCATTCATAACGGAAACGCAACGCTTTTCCGGCTGGCTGCTCCGTAATCTTCACATACGGTTTCTTTCTCACATTCTTGGTTGATTGTGACAATTGTTGAGTTTGTTGTTGTTGCTGCTGTTGTTGTTGCTGCTGTTGTTGCTGCTGTTGTTGTTGTTGCAGGCCATTGTAGTTGAGGTTCTGCTGCTGGGGATCACCTGCTGCACCCGCAGCGGCCAAATTATTTTGATTTGGAAACATTTCAAGGCCGAAATATTAGCTGCAAAAGAAGATCGAACGGAAAATGGTTTAGTTTTAGTTCAGCCGCATCCGAATATACTTGGCAACTAATGACGCCGACGGCGACAATGACGACGCACACCAAAAATAATGCCCAATTCAAATTTTCGTTCAGTTTCCGCGAAATTTTCTCTTTAAATACACACATTCATTTTTACAGCATAGGTAAACAGACTAGACTCTGTGATTTATCCAAAACCCTAGAGATTTGCAGTCTAGACAGAACTGAACACAGAAACTAACAGGAAAACGAAAAAAAAAGAGAAAGAGAAAAAAAGAAAGTTATCTTCGGCACGCCGAAGATTTAATACCCTTGCAGACATAACTTTTTCATAACGCTTTGATCGTATTCAAGGAGCACAGGGAAAAAGTTAATGCCTAGTTTGGTTAAGACAATAATAACAAAAAGTTGTTCTCATAACTTAATTTTCGACCGATTGTACCAATGGAAACTATATAATATAGTAGTCCGATGTAAATAAGAAGTGTCTGCTTGGAAGGCAACTTTATTTTCGACCGATCGTTCATATGACAGCTATATGATATAGTGGACCGGACAGACGGACATGGTTGTTAATACTGATAAAGAACTGATATATACAATATGGTGTCTTTTTCTATGCGTTACACATTTAACGACAATATTATAATACCCTGTGCAAGGGTATAATGATAAAACGTGGGCGTTTGTATACGTTGTTGTTTTACATTCGAGTGTATAGACATTATATTACATTTGTTTTGATCCCCTCAAAAATGCAGTTGACCGAAAAAGTGCGCCTGTTCGTGTTCGTGGAACCGGCTGCTGGTCTGGGCCAGGCCAGCTTCGGACATTCATTTAAAAATAACATTTTGCGTAATGCGTAAGCGACAAAATGCTCCGCTGCGGAACTTTGCAGTAGTACAAGTGCCCGACACGAGCAGGTAGTATCTATAGTAGATATACATATAGATATAGCTATAGATGAGACATAGACAGATATAGACTCGCTCGGAGAGTGGCCTCCCCAAAGATGTGGCGTTCCAAAACAAAGTTGGGATTTGACTAAGCAACTTTCTGGCGGCACTTTTATATATATATATATATCTTATATAAAAATATACTATAGCCATATGACCTCAGACTTTCGATTCGTTCACGTCTAGACATTGGTCTGCCATTAAAAGAATACGTCAATTGGTCTGCAGCAAGGCATGGGGTAAATTAGAAGCAAAAAAAAATAAAAATAAAAAAGAATAATAAAAGCAAATAAACGTGTCTACGAGTTGTCGATTTTGTAATCTTTGAGATAATTAATAAAGACTGAAGACATATCAAATAATTTAAGACTTTTTTTTGACAGCATCTAAAAGCAACATTAGAAGTACGCTCTCCGAAAGTCCAACACCAGGCAATTATTAAATAGATTCATCATTTACTTGAAGATGTATAAATTAATATATGAATTTAGTTGAATGAAACTATTTGATTATAATTATTTAATGATTGCCCAAAATGTGGCTCCAGATATAAGACATGCCATAAATTGCGCGTGAAACTATTCGCGAAGGAAACTAAACTAGACACATAAATCTTTTGGAGGCAGCCAGCATATGTCTGTGTCTAAATGGACCTTTGAATATGAACTCGATCTGCCAGTTTAAATAATAGACAAAATCGGCAAATGTGCCTGTCATTTTCAATTTGGCTTTTACCGAGCACACACACACACACATATATTTTATATATATACAATTTATATATAAAAATAAAATACATTAAATGATCGTTGATATATTTCGTGCATTGCTTTTATGTTTTTTTATACCCTGAATCCATTAAGAATGGGTATATTGGAAGAAGGAAGCATCTCCGACCCCATATATATATATTCTTGATCAGCATCAATAGCCGAGTCGATCTAGCCTAGATCCGTCTGTCTGTCTGTCCGCCTGTCTGTCCGTCCGTTTAGATGTAGGTGCTCCTAGTTCCCGCGCAGATCGAGTTTGTTTCCGATAATCGATAACTTACTCCGTTTCCATCGATAATCGATAGAAATCGATATCGATATCCTGTTTTTTGGGCAATTTTGGTAAATAATAAGAGCTAGAGTCACCAAACTTTACATATAGCTTCTAGAATAGTATATATATATGCATTTGGTGTTGGAAGAAGAGGGTTGAGGGTATCCCCTAGTCGGGAGCTCCCGACTGAACCTCTTACTTGTTTTTGTTATTTGACAATGTAGAATCTCGATTATCGATTCTCGAGGACAAACACACAATATTACAAAAATTACGTCATTAATTGTTGCATTAGGCAAATATGGAATAGGCCAATTGGCCAAAAGCCAATATTTGTAATAACTCCAAGTATATATGCATATACTAGATATATATCTATATTTTAATCTAGCGGGCAGCTTTTCTCAATAATCACCTTTTACTGTATCTAGTTAAATGTTGGTCTGAGCTCACAAAATTTTCCAAAATTTTTCGGTTTTTGAACAAACTATTTTCAATTCTTTGGCTTTTTTTTGTTTAATAATAATTTCTTGAATGCCACACTCTATTTTTGATGTTCTTTTGCGGATTTGACCGGTTCGCGCAGGCACCGAAAAGAGGCGAAATTTTCTATATACGCGCACGATTTTCCCAAACACATATAGATGTGTGTGTATATATGTATAGTTATATATATATATATATATTTGAATTTTATTTTTCGAAACGCACGTCCTGGGTTCTCGCCTATCGGCCAGAGACTGAGCAGCGAAAATGAAAGCGAGCAAATATTCATTCGAACATTTTCGTATACGCTTCTCCCTAAAAGTTGTTGTCGCCGAAATGAAGGAAGCTTTTCTGATATTTTTATCTCAATTTTGTCTTTTAAATTGTTAATTTTCTTTTTTCAATAAATGTATGTGTGCTTAATGCAGCATTCATGCTCCACTGTATATTTATTTTAGAGGGCTTTCGACGAGAATCAGTTCAGATTTTTATCAATTTAGTTAAAACTGAGGTATACAAAAAAGTAGCATGTATATTTAGTTAATATTATGAACTATAGAAAAACTGCTGGTGAATGGACTCTGTTGGCGATGTCAATAAACCTTAAGACACTTGTGTCAACAAATCGTTAGAAAAATACTAGAAAACAAGTAAGAATTTCTAGTCGGGAGCTCCCGACTAGGGGATACCCTGAACCCTCTTCTTCCAACATCAAATGCATATATATATTCTATTTCAGAAGCTACATGTCAAGTTTGGTGACTCTAGCTCTTATTATTTACCAAAATTGCCCAAAAAACAGGATATCGATATAGATTCTTATCGATTGCTTGGAAACGGAGTAAGTTATCGATTATCGGAAACAAACCCGATCTGCGCAGGCACTAGGAGCAGACCCATTTTCAATGGGTTCAGGGTATAAAAAGACTATCATAGACTGCAAGAAATGCAAATAAATAATAAAAACAACAAATGGAGCTGATACTCAGCTGTTACAACTGTTTAACAATTGATAAGGGGGAAGAAAATAATAACAATAAAATTGCAAACAGAAATTCGTCTAAAAATATTTTTGTATGATTTCTAGAAACATATTTTTCAAGTTGATTATAACAAGTTTTAAGATATGCATATTTAAATTCCAATAAAGTTGAGTCACAAAAATTCATTGAGAAAAATAAGCATGCATATGTATGCTACGCTCGAGGCTGCTTGACTAAAAGATACCCTGTGCCAGTCGTAAGCGACTGAATAAAAATCAAAATATAAAAACATGATTGACATACAAAATTCCTAAAAATGTATGTTTCTTAATGCTATTTGTTTGCAATGTGCACGACTTAATATACCCTTTAGTTTTTGGAAAGAGAGAGTATAGAGTATAGTAATAAATATATGAAACAATCTCTTCTTAATCTCTTCAGGCTTTATGTATCAGGCTAATGTATATAGATTTGCACAACTTAATATACCCTATAGTTTTGGCAAAGCGAGTGTATAGAGTATAAAAATGAGTTAATGCAACAAGATAAACAATATTTCGGTTGAAATTGGTTAATCTGAACGAATTAATTGCTGTATATGTAAAAGAGCTGCAACTGAATAAATGCGCTGTCCGAACGCAATTTTGCTTTATGTTCACAATAAACACAATATTCAGGTAGATATATAATACGTATTAGGCATTCGGCATTAGGCATTAGGCATCTGGCGATCTGGCGATCTGGCGTTTATTGGCATTTCCGTTCAACGGCCACAGCGAAGACACTTGTCAGCATTTCTTTCTTAGGGGCTGTTGGCGCCGCCCCAATACGAAACGAGAAAGAAGGGCTATTTACGGCACGCCGAAGATTTAATACCCTTGCAGACATTACTTTTTCATAATGCTTTACTTGTATCTAAGAAGCACTGGGAAAATAGTTCATGTCGCGTTTGGTTAGGATATCTTGATAAACAAAAAAGTTTTCCATAGAACAACTTAATTTTCGACCGATGTTTCCTATGGCAGCTATATTTTATAGTGGTCCGATGTTGATATGATTTGCCATTTATTTGAGGAGCATAGTAAAACTAATAAATGCCGAGTTTGGTTAAGTTATCTTGATAAGCAAAAAAGTTTTTCATACAAAAACCTCCTTTGCGACCGATCATTCCTTTGGAAACTAGATAAATAAGTAGCCCGATGTAAATAATACTTTGCATAAATGTAGGTAACATAGTAAACCTAATAAATGGCAAGTTTAGTGCAGATATCTTGAAAAACAAGAAAGTTCTCCCTAGAATCGATGTTTCCTATGATATAAGATATCTTCCACTAGCTAAATGATATAGTGATCCGATTCAGAGGGTTCCGACATTTGTCGATAGATTTAAAACTGAGAGACTAGTTCGCATAGAAACAAACTATGTTGACTCGGCTATTGATACTAATCAAGAATACATGTACCTTATGAGGTCTCCTTAAATGCGTTAGACTTTTGAGACAAAATGATAATACCCGCTGCAAGGGTATAAAAAGAAAATACCTTTACCTCTATACACTATATTATAATATTTGTGTGTGTATTGGTTTGCCGAGCACATGTGCATTATAAATTTTTGTGATAATTATATACAAAAGGCGACTTGTACAAAATGTTTTTGTTTTTAACAAAACCCAAAGAATTTCCAAGAATATTGTGACTCACAAGGCAAAGATAATCATTACGTTTCGGATATATAATGGGGGCATCTATAATTTTGAATATGCCAGGAATTCGCTCGTGTGGCCAACGCTGCACAGAACCGAATCATTCAGAAAACGCGTGCTCTGTCGTTTGTGTGATGACATTTTATGCAGGTGATTCGCATAGAAATTCAAACCTGTTCTAAGGGAGCGTAAGGTCAGTTACCCCGCGCAGTTAGGGGTTGGCAGTTTGTACTATAGATCAGGCTTATGGTAACTTTTTATCTGGTTGCACGGCAACAATTGCTAACACTTTTTAATATTCCCAGTAAATTGTCACACATATTCTTACAATGCCCTTTTTATTGGTAAATAATAAGAGCTAGAGTCACCAAACTTGACATATAGCTTCTAAAATAGAATATATATATGCATTTGATGTTGGAAGAAGAGGGTTCAGGGTATCCCCTAGTCGGCAGCTCCCGACTGGAAACTCTTACTTTTTTTATTTAGTCTTTTGTTTTTTAGGGGACTCGAACCCTAATGTTCGTGCTCGGTCCCTTTATGCTACTTTATCGACTTTAAGATAAGATAACATTAGTAGCTAGTTTTAATTGCCTTAACATATAAAAAATTACGTTCATTCATTAGAAGGGTTAGTAAGAGAAAATATTAGAACTATTTATTTATTTATTTATTAGCAATATTATTATTATTATTTGTCCCGGACCCAGATTATATTTGTAACGCTTTTGTTTATAGCACCTTGTCATATACTAACAAGTAAGTGGGCTCTTGTCGGAAGAGCCCGACTAGGGGATACTCTGTAATATCTTCTACCAACACCAAAGTCGGGAAAGTATGTATGTTCTTTTGGAACGTAAACGTCATAGTTTCGCCGGACAGATGGACATATTATTATAGGCATAATGTCCCGGGCTTAGATACGTCGGCGGAATTATAGGTTATAGATGGGCACAAACAAAGGGACGGAGGGACAAACAGACAGAGCCCCTAGATTCGGCTATTGATGTTAATCAAGAATATATACCATATACTTTATGGGGCTCAGATGTTTCCATGCTTCCTGTTACATATATGTACATACATGGGCACACTCTCTCAGGGCTTAGGGCATAAAAACATATATGCCCAATAAAACAGTTGGAAACGGAACGCACAAAATGCTGCAGATAAGCTACCGGATTGCCGGCTTTCAGATAGGCTACAAAAATATGCGTATCAGATGGAATGATATGGCACGGCGTAGTATACGAATAAAATAATCGATGATATATAAAAACACGTCGGGCAATAATGTGCTAGATGCGAGAGTTCCAGAAGGTAGAATGAAACCGAATAGAATTGATTCACAAAACCGTAAAAAAAAGAGAAGTTTGCATCCATAAAATTGATTAATGATAGGCAAAGAAAGAGAGAAAACCAATGTGACAGACAGAGAGAGAGAGAGAGGGAGACAAATGCAGAAGAAATTAACTAACCGGGCGCCAATCGGGCAGCTATGGGCTATTCGGCCAATAGAATGGAATCTGTTGAATATTAATTATGCAAATTTTATGCTATATGCAGGGGGTAAAAAAAAAAGAAAAGAAAAAAACATTTGGCGCCAGGCTCTACACATTAAGATTAAGATCAACATCAAAAGTAGCAGCGAATTCTTTAACCTGGCCCAAAACAAGCTCCAACTAGTTGGGAATTCACAGCGAGACGCCGACTTGTCGCCAATATGTTTGGACAAAAAAACTTAAATGATTGCTGGCGTCAAGCAATTTACAGGTAAAATAAAAATACAAATAAATAACTGATAGCTGATGCTGTCGTTGTCCAATCTGGAACTAGTTCCGACTTTCAAATTGAAGCAGTTCTTGTCGAGTCTACTCTTCTTTCTGTTCATCTATATACATAAAACTGTTTGTGCTGACTGATTGACTGACTGATTGGTGAAAAACGCACAGGTCAAACCGTAAGAGCTAGTTTCGGGGAATTCCACCCGCATGTGTGGAAAAATCGTGAAAAACGTCTGTATGCAACTTTTTAGTTAACCTTGATGGTATTATTTTCAGATCTTTGTTCAAATTCATTTGAGGGCTGTTTCACGCTTTTCTTCTTGGTGGAACTGGGTCTCAAAGATTTGGTGGGTGACGTTTCATGCTCAAATTTGTTACCAAAGATCTATACGAAAATTCATTTGAGACGTGTTTCACACTTTTCGCAGCATCCAAGCTGCCTCGGTGGAAAATGCAATTCAAAGATTTATTGGGCTATGTTTTAAGAGCTTCGGCTTCAAGATTCCCACCACAATACTAACATGGGCGGCAACCGTTTATTACAACACTTGGTGGAAAGATAATATCCACAATTCTTGGCGCAAAACCTTGTCACGGGCAAGGTCGGGCAATACCCGTTAGTAATTTGTTAAATCGACTCCATTTTCAAACAGTTTTCTATTAATATTCTTAAGTACAAGTCTGAGTTGCTTGAAAGCGGTAGAAGAAACGACTGCAGCAGAAATCTATTATATATATATATATATATATCTATTAGACTGATATTCTGGCAAATCAAACTAAGATACCAAATTTTGGTTATAATTTTGAACTGAAGTACTTTACGTATTTGTTTTTTTTTTCGGCTCAAATCAAATCACGGCATTTGGCTTTAGGCGCAATTATTTCAATGTATTCGCTTTTGATTAATGATTGACTGAATATGAGTCCTATGCCATAGCGGAGCTCAACTTTAGTTAAATCCCGGGTTTGTTCCATGAAATGTCGTTTATTGACTTGGCTTCAGCTCGTAGAGTACACAAGTCGAGCTTTATATTGTATATCGCACAGTTGAGATAACTATACTCTTCATGACTTGCTATATTTGCAGTCGTTGTTGTCGATGTCGATGTTGTTGTTGTTTGTCTCACACACACATTTAACACTAAATAAACTGAGTCAGCAGCCGGTTTTGCATGCCGTTTGTGCAATATAAAATTACGTTGAATTAGCAAGAAACATCACATCTTTAATTACCTGTAGTCTTAGCCAAGGACAAGTTAAACTAGAATTTACATTTTTATATATTTTTTTTTTTTAAATTATTTGATGCTGTTTTTAATGTAATTTTCAAAAAATCAACGATTTCGTCTAAAATTTTTCTTTTCACACAAGTTAGTCGGATTAAAAGTGATTTATCGCGTGGTAATTTCCGTTGTGAATTTATCCGGACAACAGAACCGCAAACGCATCGAGTCGATCTTCGAATGAAACACAATTGAAAATTCTCGTGCCGTATTTGACGCCCTAAACAAATGCAAGTGCCTACAAAAACGAAGCGGCAAAGCTTTCCTCACACCCCCCACAGACACACACACACACACACGCACACATAGGCACACTGAGTAGAAAACTTTTAGGCGATGTTGGATGCGCCGCGTGCTGCGACTGCGACAGCGACTGCGACTGCGCTGCCATGTACACAGGTGTTTTAGTTTTCTGTTTCAATTTATCGTTTGTATATACGCCAGACGATTTAATCCACACAAGAGAAAAAGAATGAATGAAGAGAGGAGGAGGAGAGGCAGAGAGGCAGCTTGTGCTGAAAGCTTTTACAAGGGGTTGTAAATACACAGAAACTAAATTTGGGCTACCATCTGCAACAAAATTGGGTGATTATAGCCTGATTCCACTATGCGCAAAATATGTTACATTCACAAACTTCACATTCTGCGATTCCATTAGCTAGTGTCATTTGTCGGTAATGCATGAAAAAGATTTAAAAAATGTAGTTTCCTATGGGAAAACGTACAAGCAACATACATACATACTTATCATTCGCAAAAAATGTTAGATTCGGAAAAATGTAAGAAATGTTGGCTGTGATATTAGGCTATACTATTGTATTTGTGTACGTCTTATTGGGCTTACACTCATTCCAAATTGAAAATTCCCGTGGTAAATGGATAAAAGAAATACAAACATTCGAAATGTAAGTCCCCTATCCCCTTTGAAACTTATCATGTACTTACCTAAATTAATGTTTTTTTAATGAAAACTTAAAATGCATCGAGTGTTGCTTTTTGGTTTTTATAGCTGTACTGTTATAGCTTTCGATGCGAAGTTCGTTACAATTTGGGATCTGAAATTAAACACGTACAAAACCACTTTAAGAGCTAAGTTTTTCTCTACTTCACAGTAACGCGAGAAGATCGAAGAATACTGTTGTTACGTAAATAAGCTAAGTAAACAAGTATTTTCTATTTATTTGTTGCATCGACAACAATACAAATTATTTCAATGTCTATAGTGCACACAAAATAACTACATGTTACAGTAACCGGTTCGGTATTTCAGTTATATTTGAATAAATGTACATAAATAATTTTTTCTTAGCTTATTTGAATTTTTTTTTGCACGAAAAAAACAACACGATTTAATGCGACAAGCACACGGCACACTACATGAACTGTGCGATAATAAAGCGAAAGAAAAAAAGAAAAGTGTGAGATAGGAAAAAGAGCTATAATAACAACAACAGTAAATGTTATAAAATAAAATAAAAGTACAGAGCGCAAAGTCAAAAATTGAAAACTAACGAAACTCTAAGAAATCGAAGTTTACGGTGAACTGTCGTCGAAAGCGAGAGCGTGAGCGTGAGCGTCAGCTAGTGAGAGCAGAAGAAAGAGCACAAGCAAAGAGAGATAGCAACACAGAAGTAGTGGTGGGGAAGGGGTGAAAGGAAGAGCGTGAGCGCGCGCTTTTGTAATGACGTCGTTTTCTTTTTGGGAATTCCGGGCTTTATGCTTATGCGATCATCATGATGTTTTTGTTTTTGCAACAGCGGCGGCGGACTTAATTTGAATTCGATAATGTGTGTGCGCACACACACACACACACACATATACATATATATGCAAAGCGTGTAAGCAGACTGTTACGTTTTTTTTTTTTTTGTTATTGTCTGGCAAGCTTTTGTATAACTTTGGCGCTTCGGCGAGATCTCAGCGCGGCGTCCGACAACAATTTTGTGTGGCGTAATCTAATCGGCAAAACATTAAATTCTTAGCCATATTATCGAATGTACGTGCATTTGGGCCCGTTACAAATATGAATTTGTTGTTATTGTTATCGTTTTTTGTTTTCTGTTATGCTTTGCGTTGTGCTCTCTGCTAAACTTAAAGCTTGCAGGTGAAACTTTGATCATTTGTAATGCACCTTATTTTACGTTTTCATTTTATTTTTATCTACAATTTGTCTACACTTGGCATGCACAGGTTTTCTTAACTTGCCTGCGCCACAAGTGCGCAGCAGAAGAGAGGCACAGTCACAGAGACAAAGAGAGAGGTGGAGAGCGAGAGCGAGAGAGAGGGAGCTTTTAGCATTCGCGCGCGCGCTGTTTTGTAAGACGTTAAAACACAGTTAAAATCACACGTTATCGACGTCCGACCGACCGACCGATCACGTCGCAAGCGAATTGAAGACTAAACTGGAAGCCAAAAGAAGAGCAAAACAAGTCACGCAGACGCCATTAAAGTTGCCGCCAAGCGAAGAGCTTTTCGCTCAATGATAGGGCAAACAAAAACAAAGATCACAGTTTAACCGAAGACCCAAAGCAAGGGGCATGACGCAGCCATGGCCGTCGACAACAAGTGCAAGCGCGGCTCAAGAGAGCGCGAGAGAGCAACAAAGACACAACGTCACAATCTCCGAGCGAAGCTTACCTGAGCCGAGCTGAGCTGAGCTGAGCTGATCTGAGCTGAGTCACGTTGACGTCGCGACATCGAAGGCGGATTGCGAAACAAACAACTGGTTCTGTCTGGAAAATTTCTCGCAGTGTTGCGTGAGCGTGACTCACACGAGTTCGCTCAAGAAAAGCTTTTTCCGCGCCACAACGCTTTTATGAATGAAACAGTTCTGTTGTGGCTAAATGGGGTGGCATGGGTGGCAGCTGCCGCTTGTTTGTCTGCGACAACATCGACTGATTCAGGCCACAATTCCTGGAAAAGGATATCATCATTCGCCGGCATTTGTTATGGCATTAACCATAGTCAAGGCGCCATGACTCACATGCGCCCTGCAGCATGCCTATGTCGTAAATTAACTTTCACTTTCCGCCTGAACTCTGACATTCGGGATGCCTTATTCCATGGAACTCATCAGTTGTGAAAATGCATGCCCTGCTGATTCATGCAACGACAATGAAAATTACCCAAAGTGAAGAGATAAAGTTTTGAATAAGAAACTTGTACCTTTTTTTTTAATTTTAATAAATCAGAAATCTGTATCGTGCTTGATAATTTACATATGCAACTTGGGTCAATTCGCACACTTCTAAGTAATTTTAAATGGACATTTTCCCTTATCCCTTTGCTGGCAATTCCCAAAGAATTTCCCACTATTCGCCTTACTTATAACACATGTTTAAAAGACACTCGACCCATTCAACGGTATCTGAAGCACCAAAGCAAAAATTCCCTTATCACCAACTAGCATTTATGCTGGCAATTCCCAAATAATTTCCCACTATTTGCCCTACGTTATCTAAACACGCGACCGATGCAAGGGTATCTGAAGCACCAAAATTTCCCCAGCCAAGCGCGTATGAGCTAAACTCCAAATAAATAGAAATTATGTCAATCGTGAAATTTCACAACAAATAATAATACCAACAGAATTTCGAGGAAAAACAACAACAAATGTCCTGGCTAATGGCACACGGGTCCCCCAGGCCAGACATCGATCAAACATACGCCACCTGCCTCACCTGTTTTACCTGCTAATGCCACAGTCAACGGCCAATTGGAAAACGTTTGTCGGTAAAATCACGCGATACTTGTCCAGTGTTTACCTGGCGAGCAGGTTTTTCACGTAGGGGGATGACTGGGCTGGGACTGGGTACGGGTACGCGTAAAGCCGACACGTGCTGGGCAGGTAAGAAGTCGCATATATTACCTTATATACACGACATATTGATTTTCCTGCTACCATTTTTCTTGTTGTTGTTGTTGTGCTGTTTAAGCTCTTTGAACTTCCTGCGACACGTGTCCTTGAGGCAGCTCGACCTGGGCAACTAACCATACAAAGTAGACGCGTTCAATGCGAAGGTGAAAATGCGGTGAAGGACCTTGTAAAAGTTGCGCCAGGCAGATTGAGAAATGAGATATTATACGAAAATGTAATTTCACTAAGCTGAAATAAATTGCAAGAGAATTCTGAATTTAAATGAAATGCAATTGGAATAATTTCTTTTTTTAAATAACTTTTTTAAATATTTATTTTAAATAAATGTATATTTTTTGGAATACAGATTGAAAATGAGATATTAAAGGAAAAGTGCAATTACACTGAGCTAAAATAAATTGAAATATTTATGTAAGAGAAATATTTGTTTTTTTAATATTGTTTTAAAAATATATATATTTTTGTAAGAAATTCTGTCAGTGAAAAAGAAAACTATTTTGGAATAAATTGGATTCAGTTATATAAGCATATACATAGTTACATAGTAACATTTTTTGTTGACAAATTTCCATTTAGCTTTCAGTCTGTTGAAAAAGTAAGGGCATGCCGCAGTCGGCTAGACCCCAGCTGATGTGCTTGGTGGCCGGAATCTCCGCCTCCAATTCGGAAGTGTGCGTGCAATTTGCCAGTTAACATGCAAGGACTTTTGTCGATTCTACGAAATTCTTGTGAAATACTGCAGTGCAATTATATAACATAATATTCAAAACGATTTAATCAAGACATATACATATATATATATATATATGTACATATATACTATATCCTAGTGCACATCGAATGAAACTTCTTAACCTACAGTACAAATTTAGTGTAGGCATAAAAATTCATTAAAGTTATCAATTTTTGTTTTATTTTTTTTTTTTTTTTAATATTTTAACAACATTTTTTGATACCTGGACTAATTAGTTAATGTTTTTGAGGTTCGCCTTTGCAGTTATACATAAAACATTTTTGTAACATGGATGTCGTACAACTGGGCCCGGAGAATAACCAAAAATTCTCCTATACCCATGATCCCAATCCGAGCATGGACTCCACTGCGCTGCGTCCGGCCCAGTGCCATGTGGACGACTCGTGGAGCACGGTCGGCACGCAGGTGCTGGTCACGTCCGAGAGCATAGTGGAGCAGCAGTCGGTGTCATGGAGCCCTAGCCGGGACATGGACAGAGTTGCCAGCATGAAGATCTTCACCTCGGTCATGCTGCACGCCTGGCGGCAAAGACGCGCCGATGTGCGCCGGCTGCAGCAGGTGGTGGAACGCCTCCAGCGTAAGGTGAGCTGCGAGGGATTCAAAATTGCAATCAATATATATTTATATGTAATATTTATTCCCCTTTCAGTCCATGCACTCCAAGAACGAGCTGCATGTTTCCAATACTCTGATGCGCGTGGAGCAGAAGCGCTGCAAGGAGCTCCAGCTGGAGCTAAAGAAGTCCACATTAAGCATCAACGAAGTGCGCAGCTCTTGCGAGAAGTTAAGCACATCTGTGCGCAGCCTGAAGGCCGACAAGGATCAGCTGGAGCAGGAGCTGAACTTCAGCCGACAGGAGGTTCGTTTGCCTAGCAATTCCTTCTTTATCGTTCCCTGAAAAACTATTTTCTCTTGCAGCAATTGGAGCTGGAAAGAAAGTTGGGCAAATGCAAAGATGATCTGTTGGGCGCGTTGATGGAACAGCGCAACTTGCAGCTGCAGCTCTCCGAGGAGCAGAGCAATGCGCAGCAATTGGCGCGCGAGAAGGAGCTGCTGTCCATAAACATGCGCAGCATGGAGACCGAATTTGGCAGACGCGAGGAGTCGTACATCCAGGAGTTGGAGCAAAAGAACGAGGCACTGCATAATATGCGGATGACGATCGAGAACCTCGAGCGGCGGCTGAGGGACCGTCAGATGTAAGTGCCACGAGCTAGCCTCCGACAGCTTTACAATTTCTCAAAGGTGCATTTCAGCAAACGTTATGAACTAAAGCACTATCTGAAGAATATGGATCGCAGGGAACTGGACGACTTCCAGACTGACCTTGAGACAGAGCTACCTCCGAATATGACCGCTATCACGGGACTTCCGTCAAGTTCGGTTAAGCGCAGCACCTTGGCCCTCATAGCCGAAGATTATGGAATTGGGCAATTCTGGTCCACAGTACATTATTATACATCGAGCGCAGCTCTGCTTCTCTGGTTCGTTATACTGCCGAAACAATCGCTGAGAAATGGATGCATGCCGATAAAGAAAAGAATAGCTAGTCTAAAGTGAAATGTCCCCCCATTAAAGTAATTAGTGTATTCTAGTAAAAATAATTTTTGCAAAAGAATGGGCAAATTGCTCGGCAATGCCGCGAGAATGGAAGTGTTCTGAACAGCAAATTTATTACGAAAATCCGAAGCTAAGCTACAAAGTTACTTAACCAAGAAATTTTGAAAATGGCTGACTTGGGCAACTGTTGTTGGCTTCAACATAAGCGCCCCCCGCCCAACCCGTTGCCTATACGCATCATCAATCTCAAAAGCGACTGAAATACGCGCGAGGCGAAGGTTGGGCGGTGGGTTGGGCTGATGCATAACCGTGCGTCTGTTGCTATTCGACCCGTCGTCGGTAGCAAAGGCAGCGGAAAGCCAATCGAAACCTGTTGCCACAGCAATGCCAGGCAGAATTACTGGGAAACAAAGTGTGACGGAGGGTCGGCACTGAGCAGATCTGATAAACAGATGGGCATCTATATATCGATCAATGCACAGAGAACAATCACAGAAGACACTTCCAACGTTCACGTGAGCACTGCTTGTATTTATACTCAGCAAGCGCAAAATACGCGCTTGGGAATTACAAGACGAAGCAGCAGCAACAGCCGCTGCCAAAACAGGGGTGGATTTTGCATCAACACTGCGCAGTGTGTACCAAATAATGCAGGTAAACGTATTTGTTGCTGTTCAAATAAGAAGCCTTAGACATTTTTATTTACATTACATACAAAAAAAAAGCCAAAATAGCTTTTATTATTATTTTGTTTTAAAAAAAGCTAAAAGCAAATTTCTTCATAAAATAATATGTTGGTGTCCACGGCATTCGAACCGCAGACCTGACTTAGAAGACACCAAGATACTTTATGAAATACATTTTTAAGATACTTTACGTAAATAAATACATAATTATTTTAAAGAGTGCTAAAAACAAATGTATTTATAAGAAGTTTTTTGGTGTCCACGGCATTCGAACCGCGGACCAGTCCTAAAGACACCAAGATACTTTTTAAAATGAATTTTTAAGATACTTTGCGTCAATAAATAAATTTATATAGTGCCTAAAAGCATGCTATGGTTTTAAACGATTTTAAAAAGATAGCTTAGTTGCTCGTAAAAATGTGAACGTATGTAGAGTATCAAACTCAAATATTTATAATTAATATTCCTATAAATATAATAACAATATAATAAGACTTCAGACAAAAGGCATGAATTTGAAAATGAATACGAGTCAACATAAATGGGTACAACAGCATAAAAGATAAATTACAAAGCAGAGAAGTCTATTAACATTTGATTATCTTAAACTTTGTGATAGTAAAATGAACTATCAAACAGGTTCTGAAGAATTTCTTCGACTTACCAAGTAACCTAACCTAACGCAGCTGTTGAACTAGCCAAGTTAAGAAAGTGATAGACGCTGACATTTGCCTAACGTATTTCTGCGGTCACGACACGACTATTTTGTGAATCTTGCAGCAGATCTCCAGCGGCTGCCCACAAATAAATAAAATAAAAGTAGAAAGAGCGACAGAGCTCAGCTGAGGCATGAGACAAGATTCCAGGCGCTAGACGATAGGTTTCAGTTTGTATTTTGACTTCGGATGGCGCGGACGCAAACCTGGCCAGCAAAATAAAAATACAACAACAACGAAAAAAAAAAGATACAAAGCCAGCGAATTTTAACAAACGTAGCGCGCGCCTCCGCAAATAAAAGAAATAAAATAGTAATAATAAAACGGCAACAAAAGAGTGAAATTTCAAATGAGTTTCATTTGAATTCATTGTGTTCGTTCGGGCTCGGTTCACTGGCGGAATACCTGATCATTAACATGCAAAGTGCTTGGCCCACTCTGCGCAAATAAAAGCTATAAGCCGACAATTTTGTATTGTGTCTCGCATACGAAACTACATCCACACGTGTTTGGCAGCCCATTGCGAATTTATTAATAATTACAAGGCCCTTGTCTTGGGGTTCAATAAAAGCCTTTCGGACACATCGATCTTTGGTTTATGAGAAATTCTTCGGCAACATGAACAATCCTACGGCTCCTGGCCTGCTGCACATGGAAAAGCCTTTGGCTGCTTTCTGTCAATTTTTCTTGGATTTAATTGTGTTCACAATTAAATCTATATTTTATATATCGGAATCGCTTTATTATACAATATTGCCGCAGCGTTTTAGAAAGTTGAAGGTAAGGAAAATACTGAAACCAAAAAAGGAAAAGCGAATTTACATAATTTTATAATTAGCCCCTTGTTTTTTATTTGAGCTCTTGACTTGCGGCAGCTATAAGTTAATGTTTTTTTTCCCCCTAACTCAACGGAGATGAACTTCATACTCATAAACCTAAATTAGCCGCTGCCTTGTTTATTGTTTTTGTTATTGTTTTTCTGTTGTTGTTGACAAAAGCTACCTAACCCTTAATAAATGACAGTTCATTTGGACGTGTTTTCTGTTTCGTTTCAAACAAAACCCAAATACATCACAGCAACTAATTAGTTAGTAGCAAGTAAATTAAGCTAACACTTTATGAAGCTTGTTAAATGCCATTTTAATTACTTGCTACAATTATTAGTTTAATTGAATAATTTAGCAGCGTGGCTTGGAATTAAATTAAATAATTATTTGAAGCAATATCTAATGTTTCAGCAAGCTTTAGTTTTTCCCAATTCGCTTGAGTATTTGCCATCCAAAATTGTCTGCATTGTACCGCCGGCATTTTGATGGCTCTAAACTTTCCAATTGATTTTGCTTTGTTTTCCATTTTACATCTTTCATTTGCAACAATCGTAAACCTCAATTTTGACAGACTCAACAAGATCCTAAACAAAACGGTGGCGTTGTTTGGACATACTTCAACGGTTTCCGTTGGCATTACCAAAATATTGAAAAAAAAAAACAATATATATATGCATCATATTCACACGCTGGCGCGTTTTGTACTCTTTTTAATGGCTTTTGGTCTATGAATGAACTCGTCTTTATTTATTTGCACAATTTTGTGTTTGTCTTCGGGCCTTTATTTTGGCATTCGTGGACGTCACTTATAATACGAGTACTCGCAGACTCCGCAAATATTTATGATAGTTTTTGGCTTCTCAGTTATTTGTTGGGGCTTTGTTTGCAATTGGGGCATGTGTCATTAAAGTGAAGCAGGTCTGAACCAAAATACAGTTCCATCGCACATCATTTTTCATTAAAAGTTGGGCGCTTTTCTTAACAAATTTTTCAATTAGTTTGTGCAACTGGTTTTTCGCATACAAAGCTATTTTCTTAGTCATTGTTTTTGTTGTTGTTGCTGGGGCAAGTCGGTAATCAACAGACATAAAGCACAACCCGAAATTACACAAAAGAAAATCAAGTAAAATAATATACAATCTTACTAGAGTATACAAATATATGCGCCTGAGGGCCTTTGACTAACTTTTGTTGTATATCTGCATATATGTTGAAATGGCAACTGCTTACAAAATCGATTTGAAATTATAGTTCGACATTTTGATGTTGAAATAGACGCTCCTTACTTGGTTGATCATTCATAAAATATGCAAAACGTTTGCTGCACATTAAATATTCGTGTATCTTTCAGATAAATACATATGCAAAGCAAGAAATATAACTACAGATAAACGTAGATATTGTAAAATTAATATGTTTTTACACATTGAAAAATAAATAAGTATATTTATTATCTATTTACTAGTCAATGGTATTTACTTAATCTACATATAATTTAAGAAGTACTAATTAAGACTATTATTTGACATATATTTCAAAATATCTATATATTTATGTATACAATTCGTATTAACCTTAATAATATTGATATCTTATCTGTTTATTCAGTTTAACTTTCACTTGTCACTTGTCTCCACTTTTGAACAGAACATATCGGGCCAGGTGGTGCTCATAACTGGCGGGGGCGGCGGAGTTGGACGATTGATAGCCCTCAACTTTGCCAGACTGGAGGCGCGCATTGTCATCTGGGACATCAATCAAGAAGGTGAGTTTCGCTTCAGCTGTGCCTCGGCTAATTAACGCTGTTCGGCTAAATGCTTCAATTAGCAGCTGGGCGGGTGAAGGAACTCGCAGGGAGAAAGCTCTGCTACACTTACAAATTGATTAGCTAACCGTAACTCTTGGTTAACAGCCATCAAGACGACAGTCGATCTGCTGGCCAAGCATGGTTTTAACAATTGCAAGGGCTATGTGGTGGACATATCGGATCGTGAACAGATCTATCAGCGTGCGGCACAGGTCGTCGAGGATGTCGGCCATGTGGATATCTTGATCAACAATGCGGGCATCGTGTGCTGCAAGCCCTTCTGGGAGCTGCACGATCGCGTCATCCAGAACACGTACAACATCAACATCATTTCCCATTACTGGACAGCGAAGGCCTTTCTGCCGCACATGATGCGACAGAATCGTGGACACATTGTGACCGTTGGCTCCGTAACAGGCATGCTGGGCACCTACGGATGCAGCGATTATGCGGCAACCAAGTACGCTTGCATTGGCTTCCACGAAAGCCTGCTGACGGACCTGAAGGCGCACGGCTATGACCAGATACAGATGAGCCTCGTTTGTCCCTATTACATCAACACGGGCATGTTCTCGGGCGTGAAGCCGCGCCTGGTGCCCATGCTGGAGCCCCAATACGTGGCCGATCGCATCGAAGGCGCGGTGCGTCGCAACGAGGTCTGGTGCGTGCTGCCCAACTCTATCCGCCTGCTGACGCCGCTTAAGTGGTAAATATCTATACAATCCATAATCTATATCGAGTCTGAATAGTCTTGAATCTTGCTTGCAGCTTGCTGCCGGCCAAAATGTGCTGGGAGCTGATTTCGCGCGTCATTCGCGGTCCCGAGTCCATGATGATGTTCCAGGGTCGCGGACGCGTCGCCGCCGGCTAGCAATATATAAAAGAGTTCCAATTTTAGACTTAAGCTTAAATTTATATTCATATTAAATATCATTATATTTTGATTGTTACCCGCTGCTAATCCCTGACTGTGGTCTGCTGGTAGTAGTGGGGCGCCAGTTCCGTGAGCCATTCCTTCTTGATGACCGTCACGTGGTTCATGAAGAGCTTTGTCGTTTGGAGCAGCTCGGAGTAGACGACGTACTGCGCCTGGGGCAGCGTGTAGAGAGTGGAGTTGGGATGTATGGCCAGCTCGGTGCCGCTGCTGATTTGCCTGTAGACGCCCGAGTGATGCAGGTAGGCGACCTGCGTGAAGAAGCCAGCGGTGATGCATTTGCACAGCATCTCCACGTCGCCCTTGCACGAGAAGATGGCTATGCCGTACTTTTTGCGGGCTAGCGTCAGGAGTTGCTCGCGCAGCTCGCAGGCACGCTTCAGATTGCGATAGATGAGATAATATTGGCCGCAGAACTCCTTGGTCATGCCCTCCTCCACAAAGGCGGTGTGTATGTTCAACAGCGTGATGAGATCGCCTTCGGCCACCTCGAAGTGACGATGTGCAATGCGTCCGCTTTGCTGAGCTGCCGCCGACGCCGGGCGGGAAAAGACCGACTGCACCTGGAGCATGGCAATAATCGTAATGATTTCCTCGGCGCAGCCCATTTGCCCGGAAACGTACAACATCTTGGACAGCATGGCGCTGAAGGGCAATTCGGCCAGCAGAAAGCCCACGGGCCTGGTCAGCTGACCCTGCTCATCGATGGCATCCAGGGCGTAAAGCGTCTCCAGGGCGGACAGCAGATTTTTGGCCGGCGGCGGCGAGGGGAAATCAAAACGCAAAATGTTGCCAATGCCCAGCGCCTTCAGCTGCAGCACAGCGCCGCTCATCTCGCTGCGGCGCATCTCCGGCGGCTGACGTGGCGCCAAGGCATCGTAGTCCTGCTTCGTGTACAGTCGATATACTTTACCGGGACGCACGCGACCCGCGCGACCAGCACGTTGTACGGCCGAGGCCTTACTGATGGGCACAACGACGAGGCTGTCGCTACAGGTCGCCGGATTGTACCACTTGACCTTCACGTAGCCGCAGTCGATGACGTACACAATGCCCGGTATCGTGATGGAGGTCTCCGCTATGTTGGTGGCCAGCACCACCTTGCGCACCCCCTTCGGCGGCGTAAAGAACACCGCCAGCTGATCGCTGCTCGACATGCTGCCGTACATGGGCAGCACCTTGAGATTGGTCGTCTCGGCGCCGGCTATGTATTCGCGCAGCAGGTCCAGCGCCTCCAGCACCTCCTCCTGGCCGGTTAAGAAGGCCAGGATATCGCCCAGCGACTCCTTCTGATGCAGCTTCCAAACGGTCTCCACGGTTTCGCGCACATAGTCCGCGCAAGGCTCGTTCAGATAGAAGTGGCTGACCGCGTGCATGCGTCCCTCTATGCTCAGCTTGACGCTGATGGGATGATCGGAGTCTGCACCTGGCCAGCTGAAGAACTCGCTGAAGAAGTTCGCATCGATGGTGGCCGAGGAGATTATTAACTTCAGATTGCTGCGCTTGCGCAGAATCTTTTTCAGCAGCCCGAGCACCATGTCAGTGAGCATGTTGCGTTCATGCGCCTCATCCACAATGATGACGCCGTATTGGGTCAGCAGGGGATCGGCTAGCAGTTCGCGCAATAGAATGCCCTCCGTCATGAACTTGATGTGCGTCTCGCTGGAGATGCGCTCCAGAAAGCGCACCACATATCCGACCGTATCGCCCACCAGCTCGCCGCGCTCCTGGGCCACGCGGTTGGCCAGCGTCACGGTGGACACACGGCGCGGTTCGGTGATGCCAATCATGCCCTTGCTGTGCCAGCCCCAGTCGTACAAGTACTGCGGCACCTGCGTGCTCTTGCCGCTGCCCGTCTCGCCCACCAGTATGACCACCTGATGGTGCTCCAGGCAGTACAGAATCTGGTCGCGGTACTTGCGGATGGGCAGGCGCTCGCGCTGCTCGACTAGGCCAAGATTGTGATTCGCATTGAAGACAAAGGCAGAGCCCTGCGGCTCCTGCCCGCCGCCGGCATCGGCAATCGCATCGTCAGTTTCCGGTTTCAGAAACTTTGGCTTAAAAGTTGCCATTTGTGGATTAAATATAAGCGGCTTTTTTACAACTATTTAGTTAACTTGATTGTTATCGTGTAATCGAGTATGAACAGCTAAAGTGGTGGCTGGTCGATATATTACAGCTCGCTGATATCGATATGCGCGTACATCAATATAGAGAATAAATAAGTGCTGTGCATTGCCAAATGGGCGCCAAATTGAATGTGCCCATGAATGTTGCAAAATTTGAATATTAATTCGAATGTGAACAGCTGAAGTGGCGGCTGGTCGATGTATTTCAGCTCGCTGATAACTTATCGATATGCGTGGATCAAATAAGTGCTGTAAATTGCATAATGGGCGGCAAATTGAATGTGCCCGGCAACGTTGAACAATTTGAATTGCAATTTATGTGCGTAATTATTTATTAGTTTTCCGTTACTGATCTGCGGCTGGCTTTAAGAAATAGATTGTTTCAATAGGATTTCTAGACTTATTTCTTTATTCAAAGCTTAAAATCATAAAAATATTCACTTAATATCACTGATTCTATAAATAAGTTTATATATTGTTTGCTTTAAAAATTGTTTTGGGATGATTTTTTTTTCAGCCCATTAAATTGGGCAGTATTTTATAAGGATACGTACACAAAAATATTTTAACTTTGCCATACTTGTTAAATAAATGTACACAAACATTGTAATGTAGTATAATAAAACGGAAACAAGCTGTTTACTTTTGTCGTAATCATTATAATTAATCAAGAAGTGTACTTTCAATATGTATGTAGTTTGAATGTGGAACTCTGTGCTCTGTTCAAGATCTATGTTCAATATTTGTATTGACTCGAACTGGATATCCGGGGGGAACTTCCATGAAAGTGCGTCTCGCTAGGTGCGTGCGTCTAAATTTATAGTTTTAATAGTTATTATTTTCTCTTGTACATATTGTATATATATTTTTCTCATTTTTCTTGTGTGCCTTCTGATATATGTAAGTTTTGTAAATTTGATTGCATTTTTATTGGATGTTTCGTAATCTTTCTTATATTTAAGAATACACGAGTATTTTCCACGATTTTTATTTCTGTCTACCAACGTTTCATTGACTTATTTATTATTAATTTATTTGTTTTTAATATTTAAGTGAATTCGTACTTTCTTGTCTTTAGTTAATTAACATAAACATAAACATTTTGTTATATTTTTTTTTTTTGGTAATGGATTAGTTTTTTGAACTCTTGTGTTTTGATTACTTACTTTTCGTATACTCTTCCTGCTCTACATGTGATCCATCGTAACTGAAGGTTAAGCCCCTGCTAAAACATTTGAATTGTATTTTGCTTTACATTTTATACTAAATTGAATTTAGTTGTATTTTATCTATATAAATATTTAATTTAAATCTGTTTTGGCCGTGTTATACTCTAGATATACTTGGTATTAAGTTTGTATTTTGAATATTATCCATTTTATTAATTTTCTTTATTGATTTAACACTCTATGTTTTATTTTATTTGCTGGGCTTTAAAACAATTTTAAGCTACAGTAAAATATTTTAAATACTCGCTGCGTAAGCTTAAGTCTTAGCTGTGTAGATGGCTACAAATAATTGTGTATAATTTTGCGTTCGAAAACGTTTTACTCAAAAGTTTGTTAGCTAAAAAACCATCAGAAGGATGGAGGTGTATTTGATGCTCACATTGTTGATGTTGTTTTTATTTCGTGTTATTTTTTTATTAGCAGTCTAAAGAGTTGAAAAGCATCAGTATAGACTTATTTTCAGTAAAAGAGCTTTGTACACTTGTACACAATAAGCGTAAAATACAATAGATACAAAGAAAATATTATTGTTACCAGAAGAAAGCTTTATGTGTGGATTTGGGCATAGGCGAAAGCAGCCCCACGATTATTAGCCAAAAACATGTTTGGGACAAACGACAACATTCAAATTCTTGCGCCACTATCGGACAGTGTTGAAAAAGCGCCGAAGCTGTACCAGCATGTACCAAAGAGGTAGGCTAGAAAGAACAGACGTACATATTGCAAGTGTCATTCCGCTCTAAACACACATTTGACTCGTATTTAACCAGTCATCCTTTTTAAACTTAAAACTCATTGGTTGATTCCCTTTTCGATTTCATTGCTACGTACATACATATTTTATCACATGCTTTGCATTTTGTCTGTTTAATACGTTTCTGTGTGTGGGTACTTCATGGCACGATTGAGAGATCCATCGTGACGTCACAATATCATGCACTCGTACAAAAAAAAAACATGTCTTACGATAATTTCTCTCACGCACGCTGAATTTAAAATATATGTAAGCAAATTCCAAGCCGACATTGTGACGTCACACTCTACAAAAACCGCCATTTTTCGTGTCGGCTCTCAATAATATTTCTCAATCGCAGCTTATAGCTGGTCCAGGTCCGATTGCGGCTCAGTTGGGCTAATCGGCGACATCTCGACGCTGTCGAGCAGCGGCGTCTTTTCCTCGCTGCAGCTGCTGCCCGGCGCATCGTCCATGTCCATGACAAAGATGCGCGACAGCTCGGCGCCGCTCAGCGTTCGCCTAGAGGGCGACTCATCCACGGAACTGTTGTCCTCGGCGGCGGCGCTGTTGCTGCTGCTGCTGTTGCTGTTGCTGGTGCTGCTGTTGGTGTTACTGGTGCTGCTGCTGCTGACGTTGAGTGCCTGATCCAGGGATTTGGATGGTGTGCGATAGCTGGCAGTTGCTGGCGACTGGGCGGAGGGAAAGTTGGAGCTTAAATTCGTTTGGCAGGTGAGCGTAGCCAGCGAAGTGGTCTTGATATTGGTCGTCTTCAGGTGGTTAATGGAGCAGCTGCTCCAGCTCAACTTGCCGGCTCGTGCCGGCGGCTGCAGCTGCTGCTGTTGTTGTCCCTGGCTGCTGCCGTTGCTGCTGGCTGCTGCGAATGCGGATGAGAATGATGAAGGATTATTGTCCTCGTTGAAGCTCAGCTCGTCCTCGCTGCCGCTGTGCGTATTATTGATGGCCGTCTGCTTGAGCCGCACCAAATGCCGTTCCGAGTACGATTTACGTGCGTCCATCACACGCAAATAGTCGGAGGACTCGCCCAGATCTTCACTCTTGGAGCTGCAATAGCGTCGCGTCGCGTGCCCCGTGCCACAGAAGCTGGTCGTCACGCTCAACATCTGCTGGCTGCCGCTGAGAGAGCGCCGACTGCCCTGGGCGGAGGAGCAGCAGCTGCTCTCGTAGTGATTGTCCCGCAGCGAGCTGGGCGAGAGCCGGGCCGAGTGCGACGAGTGATTCGGCGAGTGCTCCAGCAGGGAATCGTTGCTCTTGGCAATGCGATTCTTGCGATAGAACTTGCTGTCGCGCCAGAGCGTCTGGCGCTGGCTGCCGCTGGCGCTGCCCGTGCGCTGCAGCTCCATGCTGGAGGCCGGATGATGGCCAGGGGATTGGTCCGTCGACGCGGTCTTGCTGATGCGGAACGAGGCGTGCGTCAGCTTCTTGTATTTCTCGCTCTGCATGTTAACCCTGTTGTCCGAGTGCGTGCGGTCCGCCATGGGCAGGAAGGCGTTATCGATGCGCCGCTCCTCCTCGAGCGAGCGAAAGGCCAAGCGGTTGACGTTCTTCAGATGCTGCTTGTCCGAGCCGGAGCGCTTCGGCGACATGTCCTCAAAGGAGCTGACCCGATACTTCTGCGAGAACACCTCAATCATGCTGGAGCGCTTCGAAGGCGATGTCGTGTAAATCGAATTCTGATCATTGACGAGAATCTTGGGCGGATCGAACTGCTGCTGGAGCTGCTGCTGCTGCGGCTGTGCCGTGCTGCTGGAGGCTAGCGAGGAGTTGCTCGAGTTGCTGGTGGCCGTCACCAGAATCTTGGGGGACAGCGACACGGGAAAATGCTGCGGTCGCATGTTGCCCAGTGACGCGCAGCCCGATCCGGATCCGGATGAGGTCGAGCCCGTGCCGGACATGGCATCGTCAATGTGCAGAAAATTGCTGGGCGAACTCTCGCGACAGGGCGACGAAATGGCCGAGTCCTGCGAGACCATGCTGCGCGGTATGGTGGCCAGTTCAAGGCAGGTCTCCTTGCCGCCCGTTGTCGTGGCTATAATGACATCCTCGACGCCTTCGTCAATAGGCGAAGAGATCGATTGAAAACTGTTCAGACGTATGCTCGAGGAGCCAATGGAGAAATCGTTATCGGTTAGCGAACCAAAGGCCGAGTCCTGCGACGGATTACTGCGTCCATATTTCAGACACTTGAGCGAATACTCCAGGCGACGACTCTTCGAGTTCTTGTAGTTGCACATGTCCGCCGTCAGCTGATGATTGAATGAGGCCGCCGCCGCCGAAGAGCTGGACGAGGCGTGCAAGCGCTGTGCTCCACCCGAGCCACTGGCCACCGCATCATCTGGCGCCGCCAGCGTTAAATGCTCATCATCCGCCTGCTCCCGCCCCTCGCTCTGCTCGGCGAGCAGCACATTCAGATTGCTTTGACTGCTTGTACTGCAGTGAATTGTCGGCTGCTTTTGGGCACAGTTGCTGTTGCTGTTGCTGTTGTCATCCGAGTAGAGCACCGCGTGGTCACAGTAGTGAATGGGCGACTCTGTCGGGGCATACTGCTGTCTGTGCTGTGTGCGTGTAAACGAGGACGACCCGGAGGCGGAGTCCCAGTTCTGGTTACGCTGCAGTCGCTGCAGGCCCTTCATCTGACAGACGCTGCTGCCCACCACAATCTCCTCGAGCAGGCCCCCCTCCTCCTCCTCGCTTGATATGTCAAATGAGTCCATTGTTCGGCTGATGCTGTGCGAGGCGAGAACAACAATCAGAATGCGATAGACCACATAAAGGCTCAATGGGCTCAATAGCAATAGATTTCAGCCTGGATTGATGCAGGTAACGCTGCCTCTGGCATCACCTGCTGCTATTGTTTTCGTATATCTGTGTGTTTGTGTGTGTGTGTGTATGGGTATATGGGTAAGTGCGGGCGTGGCCATCTGCCAACGTGCTGCAGTTGAAGCATCAATAATAACTTGCTGGGTAGGCACGTGCTTTGTTCGCCTCGA